TGTAGTGGTTAAGGCATTTGACTACTAACCAAAAGGTTGATAGCTTGAACCTACCAGCTGCTCCAAGAAGAAAAATGAAGCAGTCTGCTTCTGTAAACATTTACAGCGTTGGAAACCCACTGGGGGTCACTAGGAGTTGGAATTGACTCAATGGCAGTGAGTTTGAGTTTTAAAATCTAATTTTAAGTTAAAAAAGACTGGACAAAAGTACCATGTAAATTTTAGTCTTTCTACCAATCAGGAGGATTATTAAAATTAACTAGACTTTCAAAAATTATATGTGATTGTTAAAATTTCAAGGGTTATCACTAGAATAATAGGACTAGCTTATATAACATCCTGATCAATAGTGGGGAGGGAATAGAATTTTAAAAAGAACTTAACAAATACTTCAATCAGTCCAAGGATGACAAGGGGGAAAAAAAAAGCAGCAAGGGAAAAAGAAGGTCTGGAAATAAATAAATAAATAAATAAAGCACAAACAAGTTGGTAAAATAAGTCCTCATATGTTAATGACTTTCAAAAAATATGTTGTTAGTTGCTGTCAAATCGGCTCTGACTCATGGTTATATATGACAAAAGAAACCAGTGCTCGGTCCTTTGCTGTCTTCATGATAGTAGCTGTATTTGAGTCCTTTGTTATGGCTGTTGTCAATCCGTCTCATTGAAGGTTTTCTTCCTCTTTTTTATAGACTCTCACCAAACATGATGTCCTTTTCTATTGGTCTTTCCTGTTGACATGTCCAAAGAAAGTCTTGCCATCCTTACATCTAAGGAGCATTCTAGTTGTAGTTCTTCTAAAGCTAATATATATGTTCATTCTTCTGGCAGTCCATTGTATATTCAGTATTTTTCACCAATGGGCACAATTCAATTGCATCAATTCCTCCTATTTTCCTTTTTAATAGCACAGCTTTCAAATCTGGGCAATAAATATAAATAGATAAAATTACCAGTTGAAACAGATTGTCAGTTTGTATAATAACAGCAACAAAAAAAAAAATCCAGCTATATGTTTATGTTATTGTCATTGTCAGGTGTCAAACCTGTGTACAACAGAACAAAACACTGCCAGGTTTTGTGCCATCCTCACAGTCCTTGTAATACTTCAAGCCCATCGTTGCAGTCACACTGTCAGTCCATCTTGAGGGTCTTCCCCTTTTTCGCTGACCCTCCATTTTACCAAGCATGATATCCCTCTTCAGGAAATGGTCCCTTCTGACAACATGACCAAAGTAGGTGAGACGAAGTCTGACCATTCTTGCTTCCAAGGAGCATGCTGGCTGCACTTCTTCCAGGACAAGTTTGTTAACTCTTTGGCAGCCCGTGGTATTTTCAGTATTTTTGACCAACAACACAATTAAGAAACATCAACTCTTCTTCAGTCTTCCTTTTTCATTGTCCAGCTTTTACATGCATATGAGGCAATTGAAAACACCATGGCTTGTGTCTGGTGCACCTTAATCTTCAGAGTGACATCTGTCAATTTCTCGTATTGTGGTGACTTGTGTGTTGCTGTGAAGTTGAAGGTTATGCCACCAGTATTTCAAATACCAACAGGGTCAGCCATGGTGAACAAGTTTTCAGTGGAGCTTCTAGGCTAAGACAGACTTGGAAGAAAAAGGGGCTATCCACTTCTCAAAGAATTGGCCAGGGAAAACTTTGTATGTTTATACCAAATCCAAAAACCAAACCCATTGCCATCAAGTCAATTCCAACTCACAGTGAACCCACAGGACAGAGCAGAATTGCCCCCAAAGAGTTTCCAAGGGTGTAAATATTTATGGAAATAGATTGCCACCTCTTTCTTCCCCAGAGCAGCTAGTAAGTTTGAACCTCCAACCTTTCGGTTAACAGCCAAGCACTTAACCACTGCATCTAGGGCTCCTCATGCTATTTATAAGAGTCATTAAAACATAAGAATATCTTCACTTAAATGTAAATGGATGGTAAATATCTACTAGATTCTGCTTTTTCAATCACTGGTCAGGTTGAAGTTCAGATCTGGTTGAAGTATGATATAGTAATTAGGGTAATGCTTTGATTTTTCTCTTCTCTGAACTTATTACTTGAGGATCCATTGACATAGACTGGGGAATTTCATTGTAAATTCTGGAAAGGAACTTTAGGTCTTACCAGCAAATGTCACTGCTCTTTATACTTAACCAGATAAGCTAAAGCTAAAACAGACTACAGTCTCCAGATTACGAACAAGCTTTGATCCTAAGTCTAACTTTATGTAGTATTCTGTTGTGTGTATGTACCATACTTTGCTTATCTATTCATTTGTTGATGGGCAATTTATATGTTGTTTTAATCTTTTTGTTGTCGTGAATGGTGCTGCTATGAACTTGGGTATGAATATACCTATTTGTGTCACTGCTCTTATTTCTGTAGGATATATACCTACTAGTGTGATTGCTGGATTATATGGTATTTTTATTTCTAACTTTATAAGGTAGCACCATACTGTTTTCCAAAGTGGTGGTGGTGGTGGTGTTAGGTGCCGTCGAGTCGTGTCTGACTCACAGTGACCCTATGCACAGAATAAAACACTGCCTGGTCCCATGCCAGCTCCACAATCCTTGCTATTTTTGAGCCCATCGCTGCAGCCACTGTGTCAGTCCATCTCATTGAGGGCCTTCCCCTCTTTCATTGACCCTCCACCTTACCAAGCATGACATCCTTCTCCAGGGAATGATCCCTTCTGACAACATGACCAAAGTAGGTGAGACGAAGTCTGGCCATGCTCACTTCCAAGGAGCATTTCAGCTGCACTTCTTCCAGGACAGATCTGTTAGTTCTTTTAACAGTCCATGGTACTTTCAGCATTCTTTGCCAGCACAACAACTCAAAAGCATCAATTCTTCTTCGGTCTTCCTTATTCATTGTCCAGCTCTCACATGCTTGTCAGGCAATTGAAAATACCATGGCTTGTGTCAGGTTCACTTTAGTCTTCAAGGAGACAGTTTTGTTCCTGAGCACTTGAAAGAGGTCCTTTGCAGCCAACTTGCCCAGTGCTGTACATTGTCTGATGTCCTGACTGCTGCTTCCATTGGTGTCGATTGT